AAACCAAGTTGTGCAGTATGCCTGAAGTGACAGGTATCTGGGAGATTGAGACATGATTGCTGAGGGGCAGAAGCTTAGGGTCCAGCTGGGGTAGGAAGAAGGGAGGGAGGGAGGGAGGGAGTAAGAGATGCTAACTACTTTTATTACCCATGGAAACATTTTTTAAAGTACAGAAACTTACTGAAGTCAAAGGTTTACGGCAACCAAGTTTAAAAGTCACACTCAAAATTAGGAAATTTTATGCTTCTTACTCCTCCCCTCTTCCACAGGCCAAGGTCAAGTCTGGAAGCAGCAGCACACTTTTAAGTTTCTGCCTTGAAAGGGAGGAACAGAGCAAACTTACTGACAGTGTTCTAGCCTGTCTGGGTATAGGCTAGAAAACAGGTTTGTGTTATTTACTCACTTGGACCTGGGGGTGGGAGGAGTGACTGCCAGTACTTGTGAACACCCCAGGGAGATGCAAAACCATAGATGCCTTGGGCAAGAGAATATAGCTAGAGACAGAATAGCCTTAGAAGGCCCAGAAGAGAGGCTGGGGATAGAATTTAGGGGAAATGATGACATTCAAATGCATAAATTTGGAGGCAACGAGAAAGTCACATGCAGCAGAGGCAGGATGAATTCTCAGAAAAATACCAAGATCTTAAGCTTTTGCTTCAGGCTGCTCCCTGGCCTGAGAGTGCTCTATGTCGTCTGCGGGTCTTGATTTGGGTTTGTTTTCTCTGCCAATTAAAGAATTAAAAGGCAGGAAAATCTCTCAAGCACAGCAGAGGTTTTATTTAGAAAAAAATGAAGAAACGCACGCGCGCGCGCACACACACACACACACACACACACACACACACACACACGCACACTCACACAGAGAGAAAAGCTCTCCACAAGTGAAGAGGACATTCAAAAACCAAAAATCCAAAAAAGAGCTCTGGTTTCTTTTTACCTTCTAAGTCAACACCACTGCCTACAGCCTGTTCATCAGGGTGAAACTGAAACTCCAATCCAAATGTTAGTCCATTTTGGGGAATAAACAAAACCAAAAACCTTTGAAACTAGATCTCTAGATTTTCATGGTGAAAATGGATCTATTCCCCAATTTCAGTTCATCTCTTGAAGGATTTTCAGGTTACCCCTTCAAAGCGGGGAATGTAAGGGACTAAATCCCTGATAAACAAGCAGGGTCACTAATGAGGAAAGAGATACCCTTCCTGCTGCTTCTTGGTCTGGGACAAAGACCTGTCAGGCTTTTCTCTGGCTGATTGGTCCAAACCAGCTTAGATAAGACCAAAGCCAGACCTGGACATCTCACTCAGCTTGCTACTGTGACCTATGGGCTGTCTCTGTTTAAGTTGACCAATCCAAAATTAAGGGATGGAAAGCTGCACAAACACTTAAGACCCAAACCCTCCTTGGGGGCTTTGGGTTTCTTTCTGAGTCCCCTCTCCACTTTGGAGCTTTTCTGTGTGAGTATGTGTGATTCCTCATTTTTTTCTAAAGTCTTCTGGTATGAGATTTTTTCCTGCCTTTTAATTCTTTAATTAGTGGAGAAATGAACTCAATCAAGACCCAAGACAACATGTGACAGAGGGATGCAGAAACTGTAGTACTTCTACACAGTGGACTACTAATCAGTCTTGGGAAGGAAACTTTGTCATTTGTGGCAATATGAATAAACACGGAGGATATTATGTAAAGTAAGATAACCCTGGACACAGAAAGACAAATGCCACATAAGAGCAATATAGACAAACCTTGAGCTAGATTGATGATTAAAAAAAAAAAAGTCAAAAGCTAAAGTCAGCAATTAAAGATTAGAAGTATGAACAACTGCACACCAGCAGATGAGACAGCCTGGATGAAGTGGACAGATTCCTAGGAACATACACCTCCAAATGGAAACAGTGGGACCCAGCAGGCTTGGGTAAGCTGGCAGGGTGCCTCTGCTGGGCCTGCTTACCCCAGGCACTAGAGGGACTTGCTCATTTTCAAAGAAGGCATTGCAGAGCAGGGGGAGAGCTTACAACCCCTGAGGCTTAGTGTCCAAGTAGAGAGAGAGCAGGCCACAAAGCCTTGACTTCTGGTGACTTAAGTGATCAGGAACCCTGACCAGACTTCCTGTAGTTTGACAAAAATTTCTCTGGACACTTCAGTGCTGGTTCTAATGATTTCCCTGATTCTGCTGAAATTAGAGGCAAGCATAGATACAAATTCTTAGAAATGCAGGAGGAAAAGGATAACTAGAGAGTTCTAGATGGAACTCAGCAGCTTATCAACTGACACGGGGAGGAAGGGCTTAGGCTCCATCACACAGCTGTTTCAAGCAGAGTCCCCCAAATCACGTGGCAGTGATAGCATTTCTTGAACATCTGTGTATAAACTCTGGTTTCTTCCTCTATGTAGAATGCTCATGATTGACAAGTGCATTTTTCTGATTTCACTGCAACTGTGCCGTGGTCTGGAGCCCCAAGTTGTGCTTGTTTCTATGTGCTCAGGAATTTATAGAGACCAAGGTGACATCTACAGCCCACACCTGAACCTCTGTACACTACTGGTCCAGCAGGTGAGAGGACCATGCTGACCTCTTTATAATTCCTGGTGTAGTGCTTCAGCCTAGCATGGGCTTTGCTCTCTACTTTCTCTGGTCAGCAAAACAGTGATCCCAATAGACCTTGACATGTTAACATTAATGGATTAGGGGCACAGAGACCAAAGCGCACTGATGCATAGCATTCAGGCTGGTATGACAAGATGCCTTGAACTCAGTGGCTTCTGAACAATAAAAATCTATTTCTCACACTTAGAGAAGCTGGAAGTTCAGGATCAAGGTGCAGCATGGTCAGGAGTGTGAGGATCCTCTTCTCACTGTACAGCTTTTGGGGTCCTCTTTTTCTTTAAAAAAATTCTTTGACAGTGTATTCTGAATGTCAGGCATTCTTTACCCCCCATTACCTGCTCTTTTCCCTCTGGCTGAAATCCTTCTTAGTAACAATCCCACTCCTACTTTGATGCCTTTTTATGTTGACCCACTGAGTTTAATTAAGGCTGCTTGCATGAACAGTACTGAGTGTTATTTACTGGAACACAGCAATTTATCAGTGGCTACACCACTGAGGAAAATGACAGTCCCTTCCCCAGTGCCCATTAACTGCCCATCTCCTTCAGTGAGGAGTGGGGCCTCATGAGCCCCTTCCCTAGCATGATGAAATGGGGATGGGCCCAGTTACGTGCAGGTAACCACAACTGCAGCAAGTTTAAGAGTGTAACGTCTGTGTCACATCCAGAAGACACTGCTTCATAGCACTCTCCCCAACCTCTGGCTCCTACATTCTGCTGTCCCCCTCTACCGTGGTATTTCCCAAGCCTTGGGGCCTGTGTGATACAGAGATCCTGTTTAGGTATGAACACTCCATAGTCACTTCTCTGCACTTTGACCAGTTGTGAGTCTCTATGTTCACTGCTGCCCACTGCAAAGCTTCTCTAATGAAGACTGAGAATAGCACTAATCTCTAAGGATAAGTATTTAGAAGATAGTTTGACACCTTGTTCATTTAGCAAAACAACGTTAGTACATTCTCCCCTAGGTCTATGACCTCCTCGGCCATGGACTCTTGACCGGGATTACAGTATCAGGCATGAGTTCCTTCTTGTGGAGTGGGCCTCTAAGCTAAGCAGAGAGTGGTTGGTTACCTCCACAATAGCCATGCCACTGTTGCACCAGCAGGCATCTCTTCCCAGGCAGGTCATTATTGTAGTTTGTGAGGTGCACAGCTGGGTGGGACTTTTCTCTTCCACCAGCTTACATAGCACCTTTTGGCATTCTGAAGGCTAACCAGCAGGAAGGAAACTTCTAGCACAGATTCATCTTTATTTCACGTGAAAGGAAAATGTGTGATGAATTCAGCAATACAGTCTTATGTTCTTGTTTTGATGGACAACCAAGAGCACTGATAACAGCCTATAGTGTTGTGGGGGAGGGGTGGGCCTTTAAGGTCTCTCTGACCAACAGTTCATAGGGAGTTATCCGGTTGAGGTCCCTTTTATCCCAATACTGATTCCATCCTGGGTGCTCTGACCTAATCACCTCTCAGAGGCTTCATCAGTGCAAGAGTCAAGGTTCATATAAGTCCGTTTTGAGAGAACACACACATTTGAGCATAGTGCAGCTGTTTTGTAGGTAAGAATTCTACCTCACTGGAAATATGCGTGTGTCCCGTAGGAAAAAGGGATGGTGTCCTGACCCACAATGCTCAAGATCAATGCCCAGAATTTGTGAACATAATTTAGTCCCAGAAAAAAGAAAAGATAGTTAGGCATTCTATTGGATGTCACTAGAGCTCAGGTAGCCATTTTGCCAGACGTTTTTCTACAAAAGTAAATAATTCTGGAAGATGAAAACTGAAACTATTAAAAGGAAAATGCAAATTATAAGTAAATCATGTAACCAAAACCTGTTTTACAGAAAAGGCCGAGAATAGACAGATTCCTCTCAGGGGTTACTTAACGAAAGTAGACTAAGGTGCTGGACCCATATAGGTCAGCAGTTAAGAGCTCTGGCTGCTCCTGCAGAGGGTGATTCAATTTCCAGCACCCACATGATGGCTAACAAATGCTTTTAACTCCAGTTCGAGGGGCTCCATCGCCCTCTTCTGGCCTCTGTGTGCATTGCACTTAGATACGTGCAGGAAAAATACTCATACACATAAAATAAAAATAAATCTTATAAGAAAGAAAGACTAAATACAAATTGTACAATGTTTGGGACTAGAAATGATGGGTTTAAAAGTTAGAAGAGATTGAACTATAAGTAAAACAGCACATTCAAAACTCAGTAGGAGTGTAAGCCACGTATGGAGGGCGAAGTCTGTAAAAAAATGACCACGTCCCACCTGCACACTCTCCAGTCTCCCGGAACCTGCACAGCAGAGGATTTTGCTGTTTCCCTCACAGTACAGAACTTACTCTGTGCTGATTCCACCTTATTCTAACATCTGTCTCCTTTGCAGGAATAATTTCTACTTGAACACCTACTGGCTGCTGAGAAAATGGTCGTCAGCATTGATCTGGAAACTGACCTTCCAGAGCTCGTTCTAAATGTTGGAGCGATCACGCTTGGAAAGAAGAGCAGGGAGGAAATGAAGAGCCGTTGTCTCAGGAGACGGGAGATTGAAAGCGTCTCCCGAGCTCTGTGTGTGCTGCTGAACTCTGGAGGGGGCGTGATCAGGGCTAAAATTGAGAATCAACAATACAGTCTGAGCAGAGATGGAATAGGACTGGATTTGGAAAACTCTCTTTACAGTGTTCTTCCATTCGTTCAGAGATGCCTCGACTTCGTGGAGAAAGACGGCCACTTCTATGTTTTTGTGAAATCGGGGGGTCCGGAGAGCTCCGAGCTGCCGATCGTCACGTTGAAGACCAACCTGTACATGAGAAGCATGTCATCCTCAGTCGAGGCCCCTGCTGCTGCTGCCCTGGAGCTCCTCACAGACATGAAGGAAACTGGAGGGAGGTGGGACTTGAGACCAGAGCTGCCGCCAAACAGAGCCTGCGCCTGCGTAGAAGAAGAATGTCAGGTGGAGGACTTGGCTGCTGAGTTTTTTCACAGGACAAAACTTCTCTACAAGGGGGAGTTCCCCTTCTGTAAATCCACACACGTGGAGGTTAGGAAGGTCTCAACCAAACGACTGTTGAAGTGCATTAAAAAGATTATCTCTCGAACTGTTTCTGCATTTGCAAACACTGACGGGGGTTATTTGTTCATTGGTTTGGATGCAAAGAAACAGCAGATCATTGGTTTTGAAGCAGAGGAGAGTGATCTTGTGCATCTAGAGAGTGAGATCGGAAAGTGCATCCGACAGTTGCCTGTCTATCACTTCTGTGAAGAGAAGGAGGAGATCAAGTACTTGTGCAGATTCATTGAAGTCCACGGCCCAGGAGGTGTTTGTTCATATGTCTGTGCGCTCAGAGTAGAGAGATTCTGCTGTGCCGTGTTTGCTAAACAGCCTGATTCCTGGCACGTGGAAGACAACTGTGTGAAGCCGTTTACCATGGAGGAATGGGTCAGGCACCTGATGGAAGGCAGGGCAGGTTCAGGAAGGGGGATTAGCAATTAGGACACATTTAGCTTTGGTGGTTAGTTTTCTCTTTGGGATTTGGGGCATCACCAAAGTCCTCAAATTTAACACCAAATTGATAATCTTTGCTGGATGCCATCAGTCGTTCACTGCCTTTTGTGTTCTTCTGCCTACTTAGAAGATTCCATACAGCAAATGCTTCTTCCAGTGTCCTCTGCGTTAGTTGGGTTCTGTCCTAATGACAATACCTGAGATAATCAAATTAGAAAGAGAAAAAAAATTAGCACAAGACTCATGGAGTGCAGCTGAGGCTTGGCACTGTGAGAGGCCAGGAGAGGCCATTGGTGAATGTGTAGCCTCAGTTGCAGGGAAACACCAGGATATTCTAAATGACTGGGATCATGGGATGACCATCAAGGACAGCAGTAGTTGTGGTGTGGAACTGGTCTGAGACTACTAGGCTTGTGTGACAGAGTCAGAGAAGTGGGGCTACCCAAGCCCTCTGGGGAGCCCAGAAGATCATGAGAGAGTCCCAGTTGTCACACACAGAGATACTTGATTTGGAGCTACACTGTTGGACTTCGGTTTTTGTTTTCCTTAAGTGTGCCTGGTTCTCCCCTTTTGAAGAAAGGATGAAACTTATTTTGGGATTTTAAAGGAGCCTACAATTAAGAGACTTTGGACTTTCATAGAGACGTTGAACTTTTAAAGCATGGGAATTTTTAAAAGACTGTGGGACTTTTAAAAGTTGGACTGTGGGGGCTGGAGAGATGGCTCAGCAGTTAAGAACACTAGTTGTTCTTGCAAAAGACCCTGGTTTGAATCCCAACACCCACATGGCAGCTAACAGCTGTCCTTAAGTCCAGTTCCAGGTAATCCGACAGCCTCTTCTGTTCTCTGTGGGCATTGTACTATACGGGTGCACTTACCTACATGCAGGCATACACATAAAATAAAAATAATAAATAAAATATTTTTTTAAAGTTGGACTGTGTTCAATATTGTGATATTAAGGAGAGCTCTTAAGGTCAAGAAATGAAAAGAGTAGAGTTGTGGCTCATAGTTATGTCTGTGTGTCAGGTTGACAAGGGGGCAATTGTGCTGGTAGGCTTTTGTCAGCTAGAGTTACCTTGAAAGAGGGAATATCAACTGAAGAATTTCCCAGATCAGATTGGCGTGTGGCCATGTCTGGCATTTTCTTAATTGTAATTGATGTGGGAAGGCCCAGCCCACTGTGGGTAGTGCCATCCCTAGGCAGGTAGGCCTGGGCTATATAAGAAAGGTAAGTGAGCAAGCCAGAGGAAGCAAGCCAGTACGCAGTGTTACTCCATGGTTCTTTTTGGATAAGTCAAAGATATGGTATGGAGCCAGGAGTTCTTGTAACTTTCTTTTTCCTAGGTGAGTCCCTTTGTGGAGTTTATATATTAGGTCTTCTGCCAACTTATGCAGTAAAATGAGCTTCCCATCAAGAGTGTATCTCCATCCATTTTTGGTTTTGGTGTTTTGTAGAGAAGCAAAATCCTGGTCATCCTGAGCTGAGTAGGAGGGTTCTTCTGGTAGGAGGGGTTCAGGTAGGATGACCAGCAGGTTAGAGGCCATTAGGGCCACTTCTCTGTAAGGTCTGCTCCCCTATTTCCCTGTGCCTCTAGAGAATCTCCTTTTTGGTGTCCCAGACAATGGATGATAGCCAGTCTCTTTGGTAGCCAGATGGCCTCCAGGAGATCTAAGATTTCTTGTTTGTTTTTGATAGTCTTTCCCTCTGCCATCAGGAGGCACCTTTCCTTGTTTATGGCCCCGTGGACATGCACCGTAGCAAAAGCATAATGGCTATCTGTGAAAATGTTAACAGTCTGGTCTTTACTTAGCTTCAGGGCCTGAGTCAGGGCAATTATTTCAGCCTTTTGGGCGGAGGTCCCGACCGGCAGAGAGGAGGCCCAGGTTGTTTGCGATGGACTGACTACTGCCGCCCGGGCATACCTGGTTCCTTCTCTGATGAAGCTGTTACCATCTGTGAACAGAATTAAGTCCGGGTGGGACCATGGGACATCAGTCAGGTCTTCTCGAGTCCCATGCAAGCTACAGAGTACCTCCAGGCAATTGTGCAAGACCTCAAGATCCAGTTCTGGCAGTAGGGTGGCAGGATTGAGAGTGGTGCTAGAGAGGAACTGGATGTGGGGTGGGAGCAAGGCCTGATAATGCATCAGCTGAGCATTTGTCATCCATCAATCGGGGGGATTTTTAAGGACACCCTCAATTGAGTGAGGGGTGGTGACCATCAGGAGCTGTCCCAAGGTTAGCTTATCGGCATCCTTAACCAACAAAGCTGTAGCCGCGATGATTCTGAGGCAGCCCGGCCATCCTGAGGCTACAGGATCAAGCTTTTTGGACAGGTAGGCCACAGGCCTCCTCCAAGGTCCAAGTGGCTAGGTCAGGACTCTGTTTGCTATTCCAGCCCTCTCATCAACAAAGAGTTGATAGGGCTTGTGGATGTCTGGCAAGGCCAAGGCTAGAGTCTGTAATAAGGCCTTTTTAATATTTTGAAAGGCCTCCTTTTGAGTTTCAGTCCAGTGGAAAGAGGACTGATTCCCTCCAGTGGCTGGCTTCATACAATGGTTTCGCCAACTCAGCAAACTCAGGTATCCAGAGTCAGCAGAAGCCTGCTGACCCCAGGAATTCCCACAACTATCTGCGGATTTTAGGGGTTGGGATCCCCATGATGGTTTGCTTTCTAGCTGGTGACAGCCATCTCTGTCCATCTCTCAATATGTATCCCAGGTACATTATGTCAGGGATGCAGAGCTGAGCCTTCTCAGTGGAGACTTTGTATCCCAACTGGTCCAGGGTCAGGAGTAAGTCTCTGGTAGCTTGGAGGCAAGTGTCCACATCCTTCATGGCAATCAGCAGGTCATCTACATATTGTAGAAGGCTTACCTATGGATGTGACATCAGATATTCTTGCAAGTCCTGATGCAGGGCCCCGTCAAAGATCGTGGGGGAGTTCTTGAACCCCTGTGGCAGCCGTGAGCAAGTGAGCTGTCTGTTGAACCCCTGTTCTGGGTCCCGCCATTCAAAGGCAAAGATGGGTTGGCTTTCCTTTGCCAAGGCCAAGCTAAAAAAGGCATCCTTGAGATCTAGAATGGTATAGACTTTTCTCTCTGGGGAGAGTGAGCTCAGCAGAGTATATGGGTTGGGGACAGTAGGATGAATGTCCTCTACCCTTTTGTTGACTTCCCTTAAATCCTGGACCAGGCAAAAGTCATTAGTCCCCGACTTTTTGATGGGCAGGAGTGGGGTATTGCCCCGACCTGCAGGGCGGGAGACGGAGACTCGAACTCCCAGGGACCTGGAATGATGGGACAAGAGACACGAAGAATGACAGCAAGACAAAGAACTCTGATCAAGCTGCCAAAATTTTTTTTTCACAGGGATTCTTATACGGGCTGAAGCGGGAAGTTAGCTGGGGAAGGGAAAGGGAAGGTGTTGTCTCAATGGGTTAATGAATGTCCCTTAGGATGAGGGGAACTGGCGCCGTGAATCTGGTTGCAGGATAAGGAAATTGGTGGTTGCTCAGGCTTATCTTGAATCATCGGAAAGGTTGCTTATCTTAGGGGGCAGGGAGGACTGATCAGCAAGTTCTCTGGAGGCTGCTTGCCCTGGGGGGCAGGGAGGGCTGCCAGGCATTGTGGTCTCCCACATCTCCCCCTTTTCTGTTTATAAGTAATAGCCATGAGAATTAATAAGTTGGAGCCATGAGAATTATAACCCCTAGGGAGTTGCGCCTGTCTTAGGTTGGAATGATCATCCCCAGTTTACACACCCGTCATGGGATTAGGCAGCAGCTCAGGCGGCCCTCCTGTCTTAGGTGGTTTTTTGGGGGGGAGTCCCTCTTGTACCCGTCATTGACTGTCCAACTCAGCTCTCAGGGCAACTGAAAGTGTCGCCATAACGTATCATTTTATCATGGGCTCCATCTTGCAGGTCCAGGTGATGATAGTGTACCTGTATAGGCTTTGCTAATAGGGCATCTACTTGCTTTTTGATCAGAGCGACAATTTTGTTGAAAAGATAGGGCCCCAGAGACAACACCAGGAAGAGAAAAATTACTGGTCCAAGAAAGGGGAGGAGGTAAGGGGCCCAGGAAGAGGCAGAGAACGAGAACCAGCTGTTTTGTTGTTTTCGTTCCTTTTTTCGTTTTTCAAGCCCCTCTAGGACTTTTTTTATGCCTTGTTTAACCTCTCCTGTTTTACTAACATAAAAACAGCATTCCTCCTTGAGGGTGACACATAGCCCTCCTTGTTGTAGGAAAAGTAAATCAAGTCCCTGTCTATTTTGGAGGACCACTTCAGAGAGGGAATCAAGTGAACTAGCAAGATCAGTTATTTCCTTTTAGAGGTCTCTGATGTCTTCGTCAATGGTGGCACGGAGCTCTGAGTATCTGGAATTAGAAAGAACATAAGAGGTGATGCCTGTCCCGGTGCTTACTGCGTTGAGACCAAGTAGAACGGAAATTGTGATGGTGGTAATAGGTTCCCTGCATCTTCAAGATAATGTAGGGACTGAAGGCTGATCCCATCTGTCAAGAAAATATTACATTTTGAAAGAAAGAAGAGATAGAAATACTTCAAAAGTTGTTTGTTTTTTTTTTTTTCTGATCAGGACGATTTATTTTAGAATTTAGA